AAACAGTCAGTTGTTTATAATACTTCATCGCATGTTTAATTTTCTATTTTAAGACTTTCCCGTTATATTGATTTCGCATAAGTGTTCTTACTGCGTTTCTTGGTCGTTTATTCTAATTGCTTTGATGTCTATGGTATCTTCAATCCATTGTGCGATGAATAAAGTGTTTTTAAAGTAGGGAAAATGAGTAAAGTGACATTCAAACAAATGAATAATAATATAATACTAATACTACTTACAAGTTCTTATATACTTCTGAAGAAAAGCATACACTGCCTTGACGGTTCTTCGCTTAAAAACTTTTTGGGGGCCTTTAGGAAGTGTAGAAATTTCTCCAAAAATAAAAAATACTTAAAATTTAAAAAAATATTTATCCATCATTATTATATAATTTTGCAAAAATTACAAACATTTCAAATTAAATTTGTACACTTCTTGCTTTTTCTTTGACAAACTGACTTGTTAAATCGTTTTTTAACTTCCCGTATAGTGGATTATAGCAATCGTCCAAAAATCAAAAGTTATAATTTTTGCATATCTTCACGTTTCAGTTTCTGAATATTTTGGCATACTTTATAAAAAAAATGGATGTGTGTGTATGGGTGTATGTATGATGTATGGATACAATTTTTTGTCCACGTTTTCGGTAACATCGCTCAACCGATTTGAATTATTCAAAAAGCATTCGATTCCCATTGATAAGGAGGCGGGCTGATTAGTTTTTGGCAAAAGTTGATGCAGCCGTTAAGTTAAAAAAACACTCCACTTGTATTGAGGTAATGAAGAATTGGTTAAGTTTTTGCAAAGGCAGGTTTAGCGGTTTCGGGGATCCAGAAAAAAAAGTTTTAAAAATGCCATTTGGCGGTCGAAAATCAGATATTTTGTAATTTGAATCAACCGATATGAATGGGTATCAAACACCTTCAAGAAATTTCAAAATTAAAAAAAATTAAAAAAATAGCTTTCAAAAAAATCTGTCTTTAAAAAATATAAATATATCTGTAAAATATTAGTAAGGCATTTTTTTAAATTTTTCAAATGTTGAAAAAATTTTAAATTCTCAAAAAAATATAATTTTTCTATACTGAGCTTTTAAAAATTTGAAATTACGTTACAGGAAGTTCCAGCAATTTGCCATAAGGCATGACGTCATGTACCACTAGGTTTTTGGACATGTCATTTGTGAAATAAAAGCAATTGGAGATTTTTAATTAATTTTTGCTTTTACTAGTTCGGGTCCAGAAAGCCCCATAAAAGTGATACGGTGGTAGCTACGCCTCTGCTTCTATATTATATTTTCTTTTGCTTTTATAGCTAGAATCTCAGATTGAAAAAATTATATTTACGCGAAAACAGATTTTTGTTTGTTGCATCTCATGAGTAGTTTTTCTTTCATTATTTCAATTTGTATAAGTAGTAATACTAGATGTCACTGTTTTTATGAACTTAATGATCATATCAAATTTATCGCTTACGATTTTATTTATCTTAATCATACGATGATGGATTTGTTTGATAGCATATTTATCTCGCAACTAAAAATACTTACTGATACAATTATATACTGATATAATTATATGCATGCATATATATGTATGTATATATATATATATATATATATATATATATATATATATATATGATTTTATAATACTTAAATGCCTTTATTTAAATTATAATGCTTAAATAAAATCTGTATTTTATTACTGCTACAAAGTTTAAGCTAGAAAATATTGAAATCAAATTAAAAGTATGAAATACTTATATTTTATTTAAGGATTTAATAAAAATATCCTGGACAAAATTTGAGATTCAAATAAATAGAAAACATTACTTATGGTATTTATGTAATATTTGTTCTTATATTAGCTATGTTAAATAACTACAACGCTATTACCGAATTAAGGTACACTTATGCAAAATCCTATATATTTGTTATGGAATTTTAATTCCTTTCTTTTGATTAATAATTGCTATTTGTTTGAATCTTTTGTTTGATTGTCTTTTTGTTTTGTTTCAATTTTGTAGATGCTAAGTTTGCAATTTTGGATATTGTAGAAGTACCAAAGTACCTATTATTATTTAAATGGACGAATTTCAAATCCATCTCTTGATAGCAATATGTTTCCAAACGCAAAGTTTCTTAATGTCTTTCTCCGACATTGCTGGATCAATAAAAAAAAATCATCTGTATTTGTACATTGTAGTAATAAACTAATCTCATAGACTTAGGACAACCATTTAGGTTACCATCTATAATATAAAGCTAAATCAGCCCAACAGCTCACAGACCTTGTTAAATTCGGATTACTGTTAAAAATACTTAAAAATACAAATTTTATAAAAAAATCTCTCACTTGCCGCAAAATTAGTCTCAGAAGTGATTAAGACTTGTATGATCTTGAGGCTTTAATGGAGATTAACTTCATATTTAATGCATGTATGGGTAATACATACTTGGTTTTAAGGCTATCCTTAAAAAAACACCGCATAAGACTTTTTTATTAGAATTTTACGCGCAACCTTGAATTGTTGGTTTTATCTCAATATGATGCATGATCGAAATATCCAGGTATTTTGCGGTCGGCAACAAGATACGTTAAGATTCATTCAATGTAATGGAAGCAATTTTCTGAAGTGTATAAAGATACCGATTATTTTTGGGCATTATAATGATCGTATTGGTATTTCAATACATATTACTTGCTCTCGTTTTTTGTGACTTTTCTGCTTAAAGTAAGTGAACATGGTCAAAAATACTTTAGTCATTATTCATATCTGGGCAGAACTACTGGATTGCCTACCAAAAGTCATACACTTACATACCTATAAGATTACAGAATGTCCTCGTAATATAGACAGATTGTAATTCAGAGGAGGAAAGTTATTAAACTTTTTAGCGCTAAATACAACATAGTACAACTTGAAGTAGAAATTTTATATCTTACTACACCATTCATAATTATTATTCTTTAAATACATTTGTAGGTGTCTAGTTTCATAATGGAATATTTATTTTCTCATGGTTATCGAATGAAGTTGTCTCGAAAATAATTTAACAGTTGTTTACATTAATCATACGATACTTAAGGTGTATCAGATAACGAATTAAATGCAACTGATATGGAAAATATGAGATAACGAAAGGGATTTAAGGTGGGTGTCGAAATTTCGAGTGGCGAAAAGAGGATCTCTGAGATTATTGTTAAATAAAAATAAAACCAAACCATTTTTCAGGCAAAAGTGGAAATATAAACAACTATTGTTATAATAACAAATCCAATTTCAATTCAGTCATATCATTCAGTGTATTGTGCCTTCTGGTAACTTCCGTCAACATTTTGATTATTTTCAACAAACCGGGTCATAATTTTAGTCCTATTGGTCAAAGGCCTATCTACAAACATAATTGAGAATGTTATTCGCTCTTCTTCAGAATCGCCATTATCAATATTATTCTTTTTTTTTTGCTGGCTGCTCTTCGACATCTTCTCATATAAACCGGTTTGTTTTGCTAATTCCACTGCTTCTTTCATGATTTCTCCCATATTTTGGAGAATCCCCGAGCTGAAAAAAGCGCGATAAACAAAACAGCATTAAGCAGTGTCTGACTATAATATATTAAAACTGTCTGCGAAATCGAAAGTTTCATGTTTTGTGGTCATGCAAGTGCAAGTTCGTGTTTTCTGGTTCGAACTTCCATTTTATATTCAAAAACATACATTAGACGAAAAAACACTTTTGATTTATCACCAAAAATTTTACAATCAGAAGAAACCTTGAAAGGGGATTGTTCACGGAATCAATTTTTTTTATAAAAAGACGATTCCAAAAACAACAACTTTAAAAACAGATACAAAAACTTCACATGATTCTTACAAAATTTTATTACATTAATTTATAAAACAAGATTAACAACACACAGACAGAAAAAATGTTAACGGAAGATAAAAAAAAAGAATTAACCGATTCCACAAATAAATTCAACTTTAGTCTTCTTTTACTCATAATAGTACAACAATTGTAATCATCGAGCAATTATAATTTTTAATGAGTGTTTGATTCTTATTGTTATAATAGTTTCTGACAAAAGGATATTTCATATCCCCTAAATCAAAAATAGTTTAGAAAGATAAAAACATAAATAATAATAGCTATAAAGAAAATTTTAAACTATATACATCTGTACACGCAACGGACTTGAAACTTAGTCTTGAATAAAGGAAAATTACATAATTATAATTATGGAATTTTATGGTAATTTTATACGCTAGGGAAATATAAGAACTTCAACGTCCTACATTTAGCATCAATCAATGTTTGGATTCTATGCAAAGTATCACGTAGTGTTGTCAAGAGTTTTATATATTAATTTTTGTTCAACATTTCCGTTCTCAGAAAAAAATCATGCAGTTATCGTGCGAAGAATTGTCATGTTCAAGTTTTATGCGTGAGAAATACATGGAAGACCCTTTGTGCCAAATGCAATAAAAATGTTTACGGAAAATTTTTAAAAACAGAATGGTTGGATAAAAATTATTGTAACCAAGCCTTTAATGAGAGATCCTTCATTTAAAATTGTTAAATTGATTTTTTTTTTACAAAAAAAAAAAATCAACCGCCAAGTAGCGCATCTAGTTAATTTCCCTTTGATTTAATTTGCTCTGTTTATAGCCCGTGCGGCGGATGATGCAAATTGACTAATATGTATGATCTCACACTAGTTACATCTAATATTAATATTAATCATATGCTCTACCGAATAACGAATGCTACAACTATTTATTAATTGAAGTATAATACAGGTAATAGTAAAAGGTAACAATACAGTTAACCTCCGTATAAAACGATAGTTACGTTCCAAAAAACTAGCGTTTTATGCGAATCCGTTTTTTACAAAAAACATGCTATTTCATTTTCGTGATAAAAATGAATATCTTTCATTTGCTTTTAATAGATTCCATATTTTATAATAGTTGTGTCGAATTCTCTTGTTACAGGAGTACAGTGTTATGCAGGGGTTACCTATCTATATACGTTCAGATCTATAATCTTGCAATCTATGACAAGTATCCAAAAATCTATATCACCTTGCGCTTTATTTATTCAAGAAACCAAGCGGAAAGAAAGTCTAATCTCCTCTTAATCTCACGAATGGTATCTCTTGCATAATTGAAGAAGGAGAAAAATCGTGGAGTTACTCAATTTCACTCACACGATTCGTGTTCGACAGTTTATCTGCATTTGATAATAACATTAGGTCAGTAACAAGTATCGACAGTTCAATTGAAGTTAGATTGTGATAGGGTACTCCAGATCTTAACCGGTTATTATAAGACAACATGTTTGCGAGATTTACATAAACTAGGCGATAATTTTGCTTACAATTTCGCAATATTTCATAGTGATTAAAAGTGTAATTTCGATCTGCAATCGCATACTCTTAATATATTCGTACGATACTTCGCCTGTAGTTTAGTGTTCCTTCGACTTTTTAGTGTTGATAGTGATCGTAAAGGAATATAAAATTATTTATTTCTAAAGTTAAGGGTAAGTTTGATAAAGTAGTATAAAATGGTGCGTTCATCCTACAATTTAATTTTCTGTGTATCAGTTTAGTGTGTTTAGTGAACTATTATTTTATTAGCAATATTTCCATCATGTGAGTTTTGACTATTTTTAAATTTCGTAGTGGCTGTTTTTCACCAAATGATTATAAATATTTAATTAATTCGTGTCTTGCTTAAATTGTCGATAATGAATTTTAACTCAAAAATAGTAATGTATACATTTTAAAATTCTTGTCATAATAATGCACAATGAATTGTTAGATGTCTAGAACTGATCATTGTCTAATCATTATTATAACTATGCGTTGAACAATTGTAAAACAAAATTTCACACATGTCTTATGGATTATATAAACAATTTGTCAAGAAAGTCACTAACCAACAACACTTTACCATTGTAATGAGAAAATTCTGTTTAGTAGATTACTTGATTTTTTTGCGCTCTTAAGTTTGAAGTCTACACGGAACAGTGTTTATTCAAATGAATAACGCAAGTGATGCGTCTTTGTAAATCAATGATGAAAGCGTTTTTTGATCGTTGACATCGGCAGGTGACTTTGAATGACGCAGCTACTTTGGTTAGAGTGAATGCTGAATATCGACAGAGGTTGAAAATCAACTAACGAATGTATTATTAAGTTTTCCATTTTGAATTTAATCGATTTTCATAAATTTTCCGAAAAGACAACTCATCGGTGTCAATTAATATTCGAGCTTATTTTTAATATCTTTAGGTTTCAATTTTGTACTATTAATTTCGTGTCGGAAGACGTGAAACTTATCAGTGTATTTTGATAATTTATAAAATGATTTTATTTATCACTATCATCTTAGGAGACATCACAGAAAATCATTTGACCATTTTTATATTTCCACCAAATATATGGGTATATAATAAAAACAGTTTAGAATTTGACAAGAATCGCTATTTCGTATTTGTATTGGGCTTAAATTTGGTTTTTGATCTATTTAAGCAAAAATATTCAATTATTTTCATACCGGCAAGAATAAAGTAATTATTTCGATGGATGCAATACATTAGTTTTATAGAAAATTTCAGTTGACAAAAATATAAAGAACTTATTTCGATTGTTGCTTAACAATCGATTTATCGCATTTGTTCGGCACTTTAAAATTTCATATTTCTATAACATTAGCATTAATAAAACGCTGATTTCAATTATTGAGGTAAAAGATGATTACCAATAAATTACAGAATCCCAATTCGGATTTTAATGTATCTTTTTTGAGTTAATAATTTGAACTTTTGCAATAATTGCCATTTAAATAGCACTGAATGTTAAATTTATTAAGTTCAACTACATTTTGTAATAGGTTAATTAACCAAATTGTTGCAATTGTAATGTACAATTTTAAAATATATCACAATACATTAGTAATAAGATAAAAAAAAAGTAATAAAGGTAATATACTCATGTTGTAAAGATATGAGAAAATGATAGATGAAATATTTATTTCTTGAGATAAAAATATGAATTTAAAAGATTCAAGTAATTTGAAATATGTTATGTTATTCTTTATTGAAAATCTCTTGACTAAAACTATCATAAAAACAGGCATAAATATTATATAGTTAATTATACACAAAATCAGAATCATAAATTAAATGTAGACATTGTTAAAAATTTGTTACGTCCTTTATATTAATTTGATATCAAATTCTCCAATATAGCGGAATACACTCTGTTTAAATGTATACCTTTTTCCTTAAAAAAAGTAATATGATTCTTCATAAAGCTTGTTATATAAGGTTGTCAAATATCTCCCTTCCGCCTTTTTGTATCATAAACCAAGAGCAAAAAAGCGGAAGGGAGATATTTGACAACCTAATATCAGTTTAATTTTAGAATGTGTATTTAAATGTTTTATATAAACCATTTTTAATCGATTAAAGCGCAGTTAGTAATTGTTCCTAAGGGCCTTATTAATTATGCATCATTGTTGTGCTTCTATTTCCATAAGTTGTTTTATGTGTAGCTGCTTTGCTATTGAGCTTTGTGAAAAATGCTCAACAAAAAATAGTAGAGAAAAGACCAGAAAGTTCATTACCACATAATTGTTAAATACTACTTTTTTTAAATTTATTTTCACTGTTAATTAAATTATTGTTCTGTGCAGTAGTATGTTAGATTTTCATTAGTATTTCAGTTTCAGTTTAGATCTAACAAATTATTTTTTCTAGTTTTAGGATGTCAGCGAAGGCGATCCGCGAGGCGACAGGCAAAGACCTGTTGAACCGACATTTGCCTGCGGGTTCGGCCGCGTTCTGCAAATTTGCAAGCGTCGACGAATCAACAAGTTGGGGCGAATTAGAATCTGCCCATCCTTGGATCAAGACACAGGTAAACGGAGTAATATCGGATAAATTTTAAATAAGTCAATTTGAAAAATATTTTGTTATTTTTTATTATTTTTGTTTTATTTCAAAATGTATATTTATTATTTTTATCTGAAACAGTTATCACATTCGTCAACAAATATGATATAGTGTTTATATTTCATTTAACGTTATGTGGAATATTTTTAAAATTTGCATTAATTATTTAAATCAATTTTGCGCCATTATTATTATCAGGTTACTTTTAAATCGTAATATTCGTAAACAAAATTTATGCAAATGTAAATGGTAATTAAATGTAATGTAAATGGTCATTAAATCTTATTTTTATGTTTATGATTTTTTTTGTTTTATAAATAAATAAATGAATTATTAGTTTTAATCAAATAAAAATGGTGATTTCAACATTCGATATTGTTCTTAGAATGCTATGTATTACTTTAACAGGAAGATCATAGTTTTCAATAATAGTTTATATTAAATAAAAATAAATCCTACGGAATTTCGCTCAATTAAAAATAAAGATGCTTACATAAAGCCGTATTGTATATTCGATCCACTGATTAAACGCACTTCGATGAACTCAATTAAAATTCGTTCATATGTAATGCGCATACATTAAAGGTATTCATAGCCACGTTTGTTCAGCAGTCGATATTACGAAAAAAACCTTGAGCCTCAACTATTATTTGCCGTTTGCTAGAAAAATACTTTGCAGACAGATAATGCAATCTAATAAAAACCCGTTTGTCCGTTTACCCGTTCAATGAGACAAATGAATTATAATTAGATTGTAGGAAAACGCTTATAGCCGTAGTTTTATAATAATAAAAGTATATCGTATCTTCCGCAATTGCGAAAGTGAAGCGGAATATTTCTATAGCATATCCAAGTACAATGCATATTGCAAAATAATTAGTTTGATTTGATAACTATCAAGTTTAGCAATATGTTGTTGGACGTATATATATATATATAATTAATTCTTTTGAACGACTATGCAATCGGCGAAGGAAAATGTATTTCTAGATAATATGCAGTTTTCAACTTACTTGATTACGCATAGTTTTGCATGTAACTACTTAGACCTTGACTTGCATTATTTATGTAAAGAAACTTATCACATGGGCTGTTATTATTATAAATAATTTAACAATGATTTAATATTAAAAATGAATTTTTCAGCCTTTGGTTGTGAAACCAGATCAACTGATAAAACGCCGAGGCAAATTAGGTCTGATCGCTGTAAATAAAAATTACGAATTCGTTAAGCAATGGATTTCAAGTCGGATGGGCAAAGATCAAGCCGTCGGCGCAGCAGTAGGAAAACTTCGTAATTTTATCATTGAACCGTTTGTTCCTCACAACCAGGTTAACAGAATTACCATAAAGTTGTGCAAAAGCCATGCTTTATTATATATTTAAAATATTTAATTATTTTTAGAATGAAGAATGTTACATTTGTATCTATTCAAATCGATACGCAGATACAATCCTATTCCACCACGAAGGCGGGGTGGATATTGGTGATGTGGATGCTAAAGCTTTAAAATATGAAGTACCGGTTGGAGGTACCGTTGATTCCATGACAATTGAAAAATATCTTCTTATAAACGTGTCTCCGAAAAAAAAGCAGTACGTATATGATTATTTCCAGCATATGTTTCAAATGAATATTTATATAATATATTGATTTGTTTTGGTTTTAGGATGATATCAAAATTTGTGGAAAACCTGTACAATTTATATGTAAACTTATATTTCACATATTTAGAAATAAATCCGTTAGTTGTAACAGAAGAATCTATTTACATATTAGACTTAGCTGCAAAATTAGATTCAACTGCTGATTTTATATGTCGCACACAATGGGGGGAAATAGAATATCCGCCACCGTTTGGGCGTGATGCATATCCTGAAGAAGCTTATATAGCAAGTTTGGATGCTAAGAGTGGAGCATCATTAAAAGTAATTAATATTGTTAACAAAGTTACTTATTTCAGTACTTGATATCATAAGCATATTTTTAGTTAACTATCCTTAATAAATCTGGCCGTATCTGGACTATGGTGGCTGGTGGTGGCGCATCTGTAATTTACTCCGATACAATTTGTGATCTAGGAGGTGCGAGCGAACTTGCAAACTATGGCGAATATAGTGGCGCTCCATCAGAACAACAGACATATGAATATGCAAAGACTATTCTTAGTTTAATGACTAAGGAAAAACATCCAAATGGAAAAGTATATAATAAAAATGATGTAAATATTGATATTTCTTTTGATACAATCAATTTTTTTAGGTTTTAATTACTGGAGGAGGAATCGCTAATTTCACAAATGTAGCAGCTACTTTTAGAGGTATTATAACTGCTCTTCAGGAGTTTCAGTCAAGGCTAATTGAGCACAATGTTTCATTGTTTGTGAGAAGAGCTGGGCCTAATTATCAAGAGGGTTTGAGGTATTTTTGTTAAATACTTCTGCAACTAATATATAAGGGATAATTTGTTCTAAATTGCCCTTTTATTCATTTTAGACGAATGCGTGAAGTTGGTAAAAGTCTTGGCATTCCGGTTTATGTATTTGGGCCAGAAACACACATGACAGCCATATGTGGAATGGCACTAGGAACAACACCAATCCCTAAAGAAAACAATGTTGAATTTGCTACTGCAAACTTTTTATTACCCAGTGGGCAAGAGCAAAGTTCTCCTGCTAATTCTCGCAAAGGATCTTTGAATGCTCCCCAAGTATCAGAACGTCAAATAAGTAAAATTGAAGTTGATGGGGTTAATGGAGACATGATCAAGCAAGCAATGTTTAGCAATAAGACCAAGGCTATTGTATGGGGCATGCAAACACGTGCAGTTCAGGTAAAAAGAACATAAATTTTCATTAGTGGAATTTAACTGTTTGCACTATTCATTAACAAGCAAATTGTTTTTTGTACAGAGTATGTTAGATTTTGATTTTGTTTGTCGGAGAAGTGAACCATCAGTAGTTGCTATGGTATATCCTTTTACTGGCGATCATAAACAAAAATGTTATTGGGGTCATAAAGAAATTTTAGTGCCAGGTATGTGATCACTACCAAATTTATCCAAATTTTTTTTAATCCTTATTTATATTTAATTTGTCAATTCAAATTTCAGTTTATAAAAAAATGGAAGATGCCATGACCAAACATCCTGATGCCGACGTGTTAGTTAATTTTGCTTCATTAAGATCAGCTTATGAAAGCACAATTGAAGCAATGAATTTCTCTCAAATTCGTACAATAGCAATAATAGCAGAGGGCATACCTGAAAATATGACAAGAAAGCTTATTAAGCTTGCTAATGAGAAAAAAGTTTCTATCATAGGACCGGCAACTGTAGGTGGAGTTAAACCCGGATGCTTCAAAATTGGAAACACTGGTGGAATGATGGATAATATTTTGCATTCAAAATTATATCGTCCTGGAAGGTATTACCCTAAAAATATAATAAATTTATTCTTGATATTAAAAAAAAAAAATTATTACTTTCAGTGTTGCATATGTATCTCGATCCGGCGGCATGTCAAATGAATTAAACAATATTATATCGAAATCGACTGATGGTGTTTATGAAGGAGTTGCAATTGGTGGTGACAGATACCCTGGAACAAACTTTATGGACCACATTATGAGATATGAAGCTGACCCTAATATTAAAATGATTGTTTTACTAGGAGAAGTTGGTGGTGTGGAAGAATATGATGTTTGCGAAGCTTTGAAAGATGGAAGAATTTCAAAGCCTTTGGTTGCATGGTGTATAGGAACATGTGCTGGAATGTTCACATCTGAAGTTCAGTTTGGACACGCTGGTTCATGTGCTAATTCTGATAGAGAAACAGCATTGGCAAAAAATACTGCTTTGACAAAAGCAGGAGCACATATTCCTGCATCATTTGATACTTTAGGAGTAGTTATAAAGAAAGTTTTTGATAATTTAATAGTTGAAGGAAAAGTAATTCTTACAGATGAAGTTCCTCCACCAACAGTGCCTATGGACTACTCTTGGGCTAGAGTATGTTTATATTATTGTCATGGTAGCATATGGTAGACTGCATAATTTACTTTTTTACGATGTTGCAGGAACTTGGATTGATTAGAAAACCAGCCTCTTTCATGACTTCAATTTGTGATGAACGTGGACAAGAACTCCTTTATGCTGGAATGTCAATTAGTGATATATTGAATAAAAATGTAGGCCTAGGTGGAGTTGTTTCACTACTATGGTTTCAAAGATGTTTGCCCCCATATGTTTGTAAATTTTTTGAAATGTGTCTTATGGTGACTGCAGATCATGGACCAGCTGTTTCTGGTGCTCACAACACCATTGTCTGTGCTAGAGCAGGCAAAGATTTAGTATCTTCTGTTGTCAGCGGATTGTTAACAATTGTGAGTATTAAGTTAAAATACAACTATATTTATGAAACCTTGTTTTACAATATTTTTTTAGGGTGATCGATTTGGTGGTGCTCTTGATGGTGCTGCACGACAATTTTCAGAGGCCTATGACAGTGGGTTACATCCTATGGAATTTGTAAATACAATGAGGAAAACAGGACAGTTAATTATGGGTATAGGACATCGTGTAAAATCAATCAACAATCCTGATATGCGTGTGAAAATAATCAAAGACTTTGTCATGGAACATTTTCCTGCTAAACCACTTTTAACTTATGCTTTAGAAGTAGAGAAAATTACTACTAGCAAAAAACCTAATCTTATTTTAAATGTTGACGGTGTGATTGCAACAGCATTTGTTGATATGCTTCGAAATAGCGGTTCATTTACAAGGTATATTTAAAATCTATTTATCTAAAACAGTTCTAATTTACTATATTGATACATATATGTATATATATATATATATCTATATCGCGTTTCAGAGAGGAAGCACAAGAATATATAAACATTGGAGCTATCAACAGCTTGTTTGTACTTGGACGTAGTATTGGTTTTATTGGGCATTACATGGATCAAAAACGACTTAAACAAGGCCTATATCGTCATCCTTGGGATGATATCTCATATGTATTGCCTGAACAATATAATAATTAACTTTTATTTTAAATCATAAAATTGACCAATATATTGCTTTTAATAACATTTTTTTAATATATACTTAAGGTAAACATAAAATTACTTCTTAAATTCCTAATATTATCAAGTTGACGATGATTAGCTATTATAATAATTTATTTTCATGTTATCAATGGATTAAATGTAAGAAATGTTAAATATATTTATGTTCTGATACTTTTATATTCGGTTTTATTCATGCCACTACTTTGATTGTAATTCTGATACATATAAATTTAAATTGACTTGAAATACATAAATATATTTTTAGAAACACTCTTATTTTTTAGATCTTATACAAAAATGAATTGACATGTACTTATTACCAATATATTTTTATGAAAAAATAGGATATTTTCTTTAAATTTTTTTTTCTGAAGAATCAAGTATTATAATTGATATAGCACTTAAACTTTAAATTTTACAAATTCAATATATAGATATATTTGCATAAACTTAAACAGAAAACATTACATATATGTCCAGACTGCCACAATAACCTTATGCAAATCCTTCCCCCACGAAGTAATGCCTAACAGCGGCTTCTGTGGGGATCAGAGGCAAGAGCAAAGCGGAGGTTTTAGTCGGTATTATACCAGGGCGGTATTGAGTCCGACATACCCAGACAAAACACCAGACTGGAATGCATAAAATCATTTCCTTCGCTATACAAAAAAAAAAACTGCCATAATAACCTTAGAAGAATAGAAAATAAAAAAAGCAAATGAAAGAAAGTATTATTTACAGAAAAGTACAACTACATACTTAAGCTTTGGAACAGAGTTAGTATAAAAAATTGGATTAGAAATTGAAAATATAAAATTAGGCATCTAATATAAATTGTATATTCTTTTATAATGTTCACATAAAATGTAAAGATGTCATTTATTTAAAAATTAAGATAAAAATGATAAAAAAACAATAAATTTATAGATAACTGAACATATTTATTACTTAACATTTACTACGCGCATCCTTCATAAACAGCTTCAAAAACGATGGATTCTCAAAATAAACACATATATTCTATTGGACCTTTGGTAAAGTTGCTCGCGCTCCAAAATTTTAAAATACATTAAATATTTACACCTCCATAACATATTATGGGTTATTAGGGTAGATCAGATAGTCGGAGCAGGGTCGGAGCTGTCATTATGACAGTTCTGTCGAATGAAGTTGTCCTCGTTCCACCGCCGGTACGCATCGCGTTTGGCCTTGTGTTGGCAATCGTCTGAGCAAGGACGTAACAAAACAGAATGCAAGTGCCCGATGTGTTTGGTTCTTTGGTTGTATTTGGTTGTATTGACGGTGCGACGGTGGCAATTCTGCACTCGAGTGACGTGAGTTTGCGGTGGAGATTAAGTGAATAAGATCGTAATAATAAATTTATCATATTTTAGACAAAATTATGATAAAAATATGTGGTCTCGTGCTAAAGTAATTTTAGTTGATATAATGTGTATAGTGAATTAGTGTACAATTGAATAAATATAAAAAATAATCTGTTTTATTAATACTGTAAGTGCACTCGTACTTATTTTGACGTTTGTTTTTAATAACAATCTCAACAAACCAATTGATTTTAGTTTCAGATGAGACGAAGTCGTGCATAAATCTCAGTATATAAGAAATATTCAATATATTTTATATGCTAAATAAAACGCAATAACGATGTATACTTAAATATTTTCTTACCAAAGGGGCATTTAGTTCAGCAAAATCAATAATCAATGCTAAACCAAATATTCAAATATTTAGCTAATTGAAAAGTTGTTATTGTAGTTTTTCTCATAGTAGACTAGACATATTATAAAAATTGAGCCCAAAAGACAAAATTCAAAATTGCACTGCAGGACATTTAAGAAAGTCAGCATAGGGCAAAATTTGTGTGAATTGGGTCAGACTGTGCAAAATCGCGAAGGCAGTCCTCGGAGGCCCCATGCGCTACAAAGAAATACACCAGCTTCGGCTGGTTATAATTCCCAGCTACCTAGTATGCGGATCACAGCTGGGAATACACCAGGGTAAGTGAAGCAGATTTAAACTTGCTCGATAATAAGCTATTGCTTGTATAATTTAGAATTGGATGATCTTGTCGTGGATAAATCATCATACACAATGTCCACACCACTCGCTAGGATTTGCTGTGTGTTTGCATATATGTTGGCCTAACGTGTGTGCTTGCTGTTTATTCAAACAGATCTAATTAGTATATTTGAATACATCCTTAAATTCATATCAAATAGATTTTATAAAGTATATCTTGTTATTGTATTTCATTTTTATCGCTTGTCAGTTGCATTGTATTGTTTCAATATTAAATCGTATATAATAGTGTTAATTTTCAATAAAATCAAATAAATACTTAATAATAAAATTACTTTCAAAAGCATTTACAATTGTGAAAGTTTAATTTAATACAAACATTAATAGTTTTTACTCTTAAATTTTTTTTAAATATTCAGTGAAACTATATTTATAAAAAAATATTTTATTTATAAATAGAATATACAAGAGCCTATACGATTGATTTATTATTACTAATTTAAATATATATATATATATATATATATACATACATACATACATACATACATACATACAAACATCTCCTCACAATCAAAGCAACTATTTATTTATTTATTTATTTTCATAACATGATCCTGATAAATTTTATCTTTGATTGAAATTCGACGCCTTTCGTTTTTTGTTTCAATTGATAAAACATACTACGAAATTCTTTGGTCTCATCTTGCTTTCTAATAGTAAACACCCGCCAATGTAACATGATCAGGCTTTGTTTCATTATTTACTATATCTTCTGCAATTAAAAAATATTTGTGTCGCGAATCTTTGAAATCGATACAATCCATTACAATATGTATATATATGTATATATATATATATATATATATATATATATATATATATATATGTATAATACACTTTCATATGTAAGATCATGTTTATTGCTCTTTGATGCACAACAATGGGTGGCGCCTTGATAGCGCCACGCATTTAACAGCTATCTCAGCTGCTCAGTTCTTTGTGTTTAATAATATATTTTATCAAATTATACTGTTATTAAATTTACATATTATAATGTATATTTAATTCAAATATTCTTATTTCAAATTAGCAAATAATTTGCCATAAAAGTTTACAGTAAAATTTATTTTTTCAATTTTCAGTAAAAATTTTTAATATAACATTTGGATTCTCTTATGGTATTTCGTTCATATCTTATATGCGCATCATATATTCCTGGCGAAATTTTGGGGATACTTTATTATTATTAATATGATTGAACTATAATAATTTATTATATTTTATTAATAATATAGTATATAGCTATATTATGTATTTAACTATACATACATTTCTAACAATAATATATTGTAATAGTTCTTAGAACAATTTACACAATTCTAATCTAAATCAGAATATTTTTTGTTTGAGATCTTTTCTGAGTATTTTTCAGATTATGGAATCGTCTATTATATTGCAGTATACAAACATTTTTTCGTCCTTGTCTATCAGTAGTTATTTTTGTGTTATAATTCAGTTTATTTATGATGTCATACAAATCTGTAAATAGAGCTTCACTTTGAAAGTAGTGATATACACTACATTGCTCATAGCTGTCGCTTTCGTTAAACTTCTACTGAACAAATATGTTTGCTTCTTGATTGCACTGCGAATTGATAATGATTTAGTAAAATTTTGGATTGGAAGCTTTTAAACTCAAAAAATTTTTTGTTTCTTTTTTAGCTTTTTAAATAAAATAAAATGTTCACAATGATTTTCTACACCATTTAAAAAATACTACCTGGGAGAACTGCATTCTGCGTTCAGCGTTGCTTTTTATTAATTTCCCGTAGGGTAGTTACAGTAATGTGCCGAAAATCGAAAATGAAGATTTTTGCGTATCTTAACGTTTTGATGGTTTCTGAACAATTTGGCATACCTCAGAAAAAATGGATGTGTGTGTGTGTATATATGTATGGATACAATTTTTTGTCCACATTTTCGGGCGCACGGATCAATCGATTTGGTTCAAAAAACATTCGATTCCTATCGATAGGGAGATGTGCTGATTAGTTTTTGGTAAAGGTAGGTCCAGCCGTTACGGAGATAAAGTTCAAAGAGTGCAGAAAATAGAAATCGAGTTTTTGAGAGAACGGAGCATCCGATTTGAATGACCGTTTGATTTGAAAACATTCAATTTGCCATGATTGGGAGAAGTAGTAATTAGTTTTTGGCAAAGGCAGATCCAGCCATTTCGAAGATACAGAGCTAAATGTACAAAACTGGTAGTTTTGAGAGAACTAAGCGTCCGATTTGAAAGATTCAAAGAACCTTCTGCTTGTTTTAACAAAATAATTGCGTTTGGAAAAAAACAAATTTGTTTCAATTTTTTTAAAAAAAATTGTATACATAAAAAAAATTCAGATTTTAATTTTAATTCTGACTAAAGTTCTAATACACTATAAACAAATAATTTCAACTTAGCAATTCAGTTTTATAATTCTTATAAAAATTAGACAATGTTACAGTATTTTTTAATACCTATAATTTGATAATAATTCCCCATTGAATGAATGGAAAATTATCAAATTTTGATTTTAATTTCAGGTATAATTATTCTAATATTTTTTATGAATTTAAAATTTATATTTATTTATTGAAATTAAATTACGATTATTATTGAGTATACATTTTTCATTCCTTTCAAACAGATTGGCTATTATATAAGTTTGTATCTAATTTTTTTTTCAAGATTTTTATATTAATATAAAAGGTACATTGTATTAGTTTTTGCATAAATACCTATCTTTCTTAGAAGATAACCAAACATCTACTATTTATTAACTTTAGTACTTTAAACATTTTTTTATTTACATTTAAATTACAATCTGTTTTATAATTAAGACATTTAGTAATTAATCTGAGACTTAATAAAGGTATAATGTTTTTAGAGAACCTCTCATTGGTACGTTTTCTAATTTATGAAAATAGTACTTTAGACATAACTATTACTTTAAATTTATTTATTTATTATTAATTATGTGCAGAAATGTCACGAGAATTATAAACAATATTTCAGAATAAAGCTACATTAGTAATAATTATAGCGTAATGAAGAATATCAGATAAATTAATCATTATTAATTATGTGCGAAAATATCACAAAAACCACAAAAAATATTTAAAAACAACGCAACATTAGTAATAATTTAAGCGCAATGGAGAATATCAGATAAATTGATATTGAAATATTTTGTGTTAGTTTGTAGTTTTTAGATAATTGAAAATTAAAATTCTTTTATAAAACACAGTCGGAATAGTTTAGTTAACATACAATTAGAGTATTATTTATTTAGCAAGCAGTAAATTGATTAATACTTGAATATACAGATGTTTTAGCAATGAAAATTATATGTACGATATTCTCCATATATATACATTAGAATGTGCCCCATTCCCATTTATTAATTTTGAAATTTATAATGACTTATCACCTTCATTGATTAATCGATGCAGGCAATTAATTAGTAGAACATCACGATTTCAAGTATTCGTTGAACCTCAATCTTTGTATCATAAGAATATTAAAAAACTTTAATATGCACATACAATTTTAAACATAAGTACACTATACATACGCACATATACTATACGTATTATGGCAAAACATAAACTAAAATAACACATTCTTGATTATTGTATTACATCTATTAAATGAGTTATCAAATAAGTTAATGTTATTACATAAATGCAAATATATATCTTACGTATTTGAATAACACTAACATTTCGCCATGGGGGTAAATTAAAATTTTTAACAGAATTCGGCTCTATATCGTGAAATCTAAAATTATATAAATGTTTGTCAATGTTTGTAGATCAATTAAAATTTTTAACGTCATACATTCACACATACCTATATGATTAATATAAATTAGCCTATAGTCGATTTCGATTACATGCATGTGGAATGCTTTTCTTATCTTGGACCTAACAATAATTGCTTTTACGATGCAGAAGAATGTTATTAATGCTTATTATTGTTATTATAAAATGTGGCAAATAATTTAACATGCAGTTAACTGTTTAGAATTATTTAGAGCGATAAACTTCTTATGATTTTGAACGTAGTCATTTAGCCTTGATTATGGCGTATTTCGATTCGTAATTTGATTTTTGATTCATTATGTTTAATGACATATATAAATAATGACAATTAAAAATGGTTTCAATAAACAAATTACACACATTGTACCTTTTCTTAAAAAACCTCATTCTGTTAGTTGTAGCACCCATCGCGCAAAATGTAGTAGATCGCTCCACCGTCACGAATCTTGTTCGTACAACTGAAAAGCGTTTTTAACTATAAACGTGAAATGAAGTTCATTGGTTGAATTATTTATTATAATAATATTATATTAATATTTATTATATAAATAAGAGTAATAATGGACGTTTTTTTATATTTTAAACGAATGATTTGCAAGAAAGTTTACTCATATTTTTTTTATTATGATTTTTATCTAAACGATTTTATTATTATGATTACAAATTATATATGCGAAATACCTAAATTTGAATTAAGTAAAGGCATTTTAAAATCATATATCAAGATATTTTTTTTATTTAAGAAACTGTAAGCTTCGTTTCATAAATGATGATCAAATTACCAGAATGTATGTTTTATACTTACGGATAAATATAAATTTTTGTGCATATATTTATATAACAGAATAACTCTTTTATCAGAAGAGCTTAGACCTGTGGTTTCCAACCTGTGGAGCTCCCCTCCTCAGTGGGATGCGAGGCTATTGCAAGGGGGCGTACAGCTGTTTTCAAAAATGAACCAAAAATTTTTACACGATAGAAAAAAATTAACGAATAAATAATTATTTTTTATGTATGTACGTTTTTACTTTATATTGCATAGTAATTTGTAGTCTGATAATTAAATTATATCAGCTTAGGGGGACGCAACATTTTTAACTTCCCGTAG